ATATATATATATATATATATATATATATATATATATAATATATAAATATATATAATAAAATATATAATAGATAAACAATAAACAAATATCCTAAAATATAAACAAACAAACACAAACAGAAAAACAAACAAAATAAAACAAAGCCAAACGCGGAGATGTAACGATGTATATATATATATATATACATATATATATATATATATATATACAAGTATAAAAATATATAAAAATATAAAAATAAATACATAAATATAAACATATAAATATAAGCAGAGAAAGAAAAATAAATATAGATATAAAATTTGTTTGTCTCTAGACGAGTCCATACACTGACCGTATAATCAAAAAAAAAAAAAAAAAAAAAAAAAAAAAAAAAAAAAAAAAAAAAAAAAAAAAAAAAAAAAACATTAAAAAAAAAAAAAAAAAAAAAAAAAAAAAAAAAAAAAAAAAAAAAAAAAAAAAAAAAAAAAAAAAAAAAAGATAGAGTAAAACCCTGACTTCTTTTTCTAGTATATCTGACTGAGAGAGAACAGAGGAGACGATGCTGAGCGTCTCTGCGTCAACAAGCAGCAGCTTGAGGCCTACACTGCAGCGCAGCATTGCATGCAGCTGCTGTCTGCATAGATGTATGAGGTCATAGCGAGACATTTTCTCTTTTTTTATTTTTTTTTTTTTTTTATTTTTTTTGTTTTGGTTTGGTTTGGTTGTTTTCTTCGTTTTATTCTTTTTATTTTTTTTTTTTGTTTTTTTTGCTTTTTTGTTTTTTTTTTTATTCTGGTTCTACCCTCAGTATATCAATCAACCATTTGGCGTTGTTAGGTTTATCATTTCTATTTAGCTGCTGCTGCTGCTGCTGCTGCTGCTGCTGCTGCTGCTGTATGCGTTGTTGCTGCTGCGACAGTGCTGCTGCTGCTGCTGCAATAGTGCTGCTGCTGCTGCATGCGTTGCTGCTGATGCAACCGTCCTGCTGCTGCTGCATGCGCTGCTGCTGTCGTGTCTTGCTGCCTGCAGCTGCAGCAGCTGTCTAGAGGACTCCAGAGCAGCAGCAGCAGAAGGCGATGAACAGCAGCGGCTCAGATCTGCTGCTGCTGCTGCTGCAGCTGTTGCTGCTGCTGCTGCTGCTGTTGCTGCTGTTGAGGCGGTGACGCGGACTCCACTGCAACAACTGGGGGGAGCAGCAAGAGGCAGCAGAGTTCAGCAGCAGCAGCAGCTGCTGCTGCTGCTCCTCATGAATATAGAAGGTGAAGGCAACAGCAGCAGCAGCAAAGAGAAAGACTGCTGCATGCAAAAGCTGAGAGTTGCTGCTGCTGCAGCAACTCACCGACTCAAGCAGTAGCTGCGACGCTGCGGAGCCGGCAGCAGCAGAGGGAGAGAAGAAACCCCGACAGAAAAAGAAGTTTAAAAGAAATAAATAAATATAAAATAACACAAAAGACGCAAAAAAAAACACAAATAGATATACAGAGCAGTGGTTCCGTCGGCTGCTCGCTGCATGTGGCGGTCAACAACCCGCGGCAGCCGGGTGTACATACACCCCAAAAAAAAAGGAAAAGAAGCGGAATTAGCTTTTATTTTTGTTTATATTTTGCAATTACAACAATTTAAATATAATTTTTATTCATACTTTGGGTCTGTGGGGGGCTGAGGGGGGCAACGGCTGGCGGCTTCTATACAGCTGCCGCCGCGGTGCGGGCTGGCGGCAGCCATCGGGGCTTTGTGTAGAAAGAATTATTTTTTTAGAAAAAAAATATTAAATAAAATAATATTTAAAACCTTTTTATCCAATAATTTCGTCAGAACGTTCATAAATACACCGAGGATCACTCAACTTGCATCAGCCCGCCGGTGAGCAGTCAGTCGGCGGCGGGTCTTGCATATGCAGAAACGCAGAGAAAAAAAAACGAATTTCTTTATTTCTTTTAAAAGAATAAACATAAAAAACATTATAAATATTCATTAAAAGTATTTTATTCTCTGCATCTTATATATTCCCGCCGCGGAGCGAACCCCAGATGCAGCGTTTCCTCTGGTGTACGTACACCTCAATACTTTGGGTGTTTTCACAGGCCGCCAGGGCCCCCGCCTTGTGCAGCATGGATAAGAAGAGGTTGAATCTCTGCTGCAGT